TTTACCATCACCTCACTTGCAAGTTGAACACGCTACCAAACTCCAACCGATCGATACTGAGAAATCAACCTTGCAGTAATGCTTTCCTCATCCATCACCACCACCATGGCTATTCAAGTGGCTGACCACTTGATACAGCAGTGAGGACCAAAAAAAAACGCAAATGAATCGTGCTCTTCTCAACATATGATCTATATTACTTTTCAACATCTCCCGTACAGCTTCTTGATAGGCGCTGTGGCCCTATGTGGCCTTATGTCAGCCTGCATGGGCTGCGTAAGCTCGGCAGGTGATCATCACATCCAAGACAGCGGAACCATCACATCTGGATACCTGTGGGATATGGTAATTTAATGAAAATATAGTCTTTCGAAAAGACGATTCTTTTTATAGTCTTTGAAGCCCTGGGATTATCAAACCGTCCTAATCTCTCTCTCTCTCTTGCCATTCTTAGCCAATGCTCTCCATCTTTCAACAAAACGCACAAAGACCTCGGATTCCACAGCAGGAGTGACGAGTGCAGTCGACCATAGTCGACCAAAACTATACATGAATTCAAGATTCTCGGACCCGACGTCCTCTATACCACAGCAAATGCGACATGATCCGAGCAAAAAACATCAAAAACATGTACGATTGTGCCGCCTATTTTCCGAGGTGCATACTGAGACTCCAGGTAGTTTTGAGAAGGCTGTTTACTCATGAAGCAAATTGTGACTCCAAACCATCCATCATTCCTCTCATGAGTGCTAGCGGGCTAGTAATGGCTAGTAGATGATGAATGGTTAGGATTCATGTACCCAAATCCATTCAGATCCCTGATAAAATCCACATCTTCCAGCACCCTCCAACAGGTCACCACCTGCAACTTTAAAGTCTGCAAGCCGCCAGTCCAAAGGAGACCTGTTGGACTGTGTTGGTTTACGCCTGCTATGCCTCTGATTCCCTGCCATAAGGTGGCCACTCGTCATCCATATGGAAGGATTGATGCCGGGTCCCACCCTATCATACCTCTTTGGTCCATGACACATCCGAAAACATCCGAAAACAACCAATTACGAACGTCCATTCCATTCTTGTGGTACTCGAGACCATTCAGAACCCTCTCTCCGGTTCCAAATACACCCAAACGCTCCATGAGTTCACAGCCCGACCGGTCCCTCACAAGCATCATTGGATGAGAAACCCCACACCCCTGCGGATTCGGGTCCGACCCCTGCCGAACGTCGCGTCCGAGGTCGTCCACCTCGACGCACCCTGGGGCTCGGACCAACGCTCGTTCGGCCGCTCCTACAGGCGAGTCTCGGTCACGCGATGGACCGGGTCGACAGCGTGGACCGGGTCAGGAGGCGATGGACCTGGTGAATATAGAAACGAAGTGAAAAACACACACACAACCTGAGAAGCTGCAAAACGAAAGCCAGCGCTTTTGTGGGGCTGATTCGCAGTGCAAAGCCGGGAAGAAGCTATTTCCACTGTCTGTGAAGCCTGATGCGCGCCATACCTGGGAACAGAATTGTAGCTACAAGACCTTTATTTTCAAGGTGGCCTGAACAGAGTGTTTTAGGGCAGCAAACCGTGGTCTCAGGCCACCTTGAGTTTAGCTTGAAAACCACAGCTACATAGCTACCCTGGGTGTCTATACCTGGCAAGGTGCCAACTACACCTTTATTTTCAAGGTGGCCTGAACAGAGTGTTTTAGGGCAGCAACCCTGGTCTCAGGCCACCTTGACTTTAGCTTGAAAACCACAGCTTTGAAGCCTCATGCGCGCCATACCAGAACTGTAGCTACTTGTAGCTACCCTGGGTCCGTATAAATAGTATGTTGCTACACCTCTTACACATCTATACAAGTTCAAAGCACGAATGAGACTTCAAGGCTGTGGATTGCTGTGCGTGTGTAGAGGTTCTCAAGCGGTTGACGGAAAGGGAACTTGAAGTACTATACCTGGTAGCTGCACTATAGCTACCCTAGGTCTCTCTACCTTGCAAGGTGCCAACTACACCTTTCCATTCAGATGATGCAAATGATGCATTTGGCATTTCTTGCATCACCACCCCTCAAAAATCACCTCCAACACAACCTCAAAAAACCTTCCCTCGGAGCACCCTCCTCCCCCAGCATGTGCTGAGTTGACGTATACCTTTCTCGGGCCACCCCCCCAGACCCCCTAACTACTCACTTCGTTCGCCAGACACAACTCCGCTAGCGCCTTCTACGAAGGCTGGCTTTCGTAACATGGCCCAAAATCAAACCCCCAACACAAAACGACCTCAAGCGGCCCAAAAGGATCAACACCACCACGTGTTCAATGTTACACCTGTGCCGGTTTTTCCTAGCGCTCCGGACCGCTCGTGGTCGTTCTCATGCGGTTCTCCGCTTCTCCTCAACCTCCTTTTCAAGGGATTTCATCCGCCGTTTTCTCAAACCTCCGTCGCGTCGACCTCGACCTTGCAATCCCCCCCCATCGACCGCGGGGCCTCATCTTCGGCCTCAAAGGCACCTGGAACCTGCGGGCAGGTCGCTCGGTGCGCCGACGGAACCGACCGCGTTTTCTCGTGCCCCGTGTTTTCGGTGTCGCGGCGGCGACTTCGTGCGTATTATCAGCAGTCATGCAATGTGTGCCCTAGGCTTCCAACAACCATTATTTTAATAGGCTTTACCGAATCAACTAAGGATTTTTCATTTCAAAAAGAAGGTCAACCATTTTTATAATGGTCTTGGAAGTCTAGGGTGTGGCCTTCGAGCTCAGTTAAGTAACTCGTACAGGTCTTCCAGGAAATACCGACTTCGGACGGGTGTGTGTGTGTGTGTGTGTGTGTGCCGTGCCTGGAAAATACGATCCATCTGATCGGAAAGTTGATGAAACACGCCCTGCAAGACCGCCTTAGTTCGGCGTTCGGCGCTTCCACGTTCGTTCGGGTCGCCCCGAACGAAACGCGAGCAGGACGGCGGGGATGGCGCAGTGGCGGCGCAGTGCGGGACCCATGTGGTTGGGGATAGTAAACTTAAGTATATCTGGTTGTAAAACCTAGGAGAGGGCCGATTAGAGGAGATCTCATTATATTTAGATCGATTGACATTTTAAGTCTGCATACCTTGTAACACCAAATTAGAGTTGATTAGATGCATGTTCCATGATTGTCACAAGAATACTACAATAAACACACACAAAACTTGCCAAAGGTCCTTTGCAAAAAGGTTCAAAAACCAACAATGGATGAGTGAAGCTCAGCTGAGTAAAATAACATGCCGGGCGATTCAACTCCAAAGCCGTTCATTCTTGGAATCCCTACTGGTGGTGGAACCACCAAAACACTGTAAAGGCCCCTAACAGCCAGCTAGTCGACGTCAGTCTCTCTGATTGAAGGAGTTTCATGAAGTATCAAAGCTTTTCCGCCACGCTCCTTCCTGTCTTCTTGGAATGGAGCATCCCTTTTGTTCACCCAACACGGTAGGAAATTGCCTGTGCCTTTTCAACCCTCTCAGAGTGCCATCCTATCTGCTTTTTCAGAACGCCCTGCAACAGCTGCCATGCCACACGCCCTGCAGCCAAAAACCGATAGCCCGTGGTACGTCTGCCCCCATTTCCTCCCAATACTCGCTGGGCCACAACGTTGGGATGCCCTTGAGCTGCCGCCAAATACTCGATCTCCGTCCTGCGCAGCAGCACGCGGGCACGCGGTTGCGGTCGTCGGCCGCGGTTGCTTGGTTTAGGCAGAGGTGAGACGCGACGCGTTCTCGGCTGTTCAACGGATGTGACGACAGGAGACCCGTTGTTTTTGTTTTGGAGGATTGGTTTATGGTTTGTATGGTTCTATTGAGTTGCGGAAGGTTTTGAAGGGTTTAAACCCTGGTGGTCTATTGTTAAAGCACATGTCAATGGTGCTTTCGGGGAACACACCGGAGTCAAAAAACGAAAGATAGGTGGCTGCCACAAGCCCTTTTTGTTCTTTCTTTCCGTTGCGTCTGTGCGTGTTTTTACTTTTTTTGCGCGCGTTATACCCTAGTAGAAATCGCCTAGCCTAGGCGCCAAACGACCTTTGCAACGGATGCTCATGCCACCTCGGACCGAGCCTCCCGCGTTCACCCGTCTTGCAACTTGGTTGAGCTGCACAGCAACGAGTGCACCCCCACCTCGCACCAAACCATGCTGTCTCCTGCCACGAAATCTGCACATCGAGCTTCACAAAGTGCTGCGCCTGCCACGCAATCTGCACATCGAGCTTCACAAAGTGCTGCGCCTGCCACGAAATCTGCACATCGAGCTTCACAAAGTGCTGCGCCTGCCACGCAATCTGCACATCGAGATTCACAAAGTGCTGCGCCTGCCACGAAATCTGCACATCGGAGATCCAAAATGAGCAAATTGCACGAGGCTTTCGCAAATTTTGAAATGCGTTTCAGAAATGCTGTGCCTGCCACGAAATCATGCCTGCAGGTCATACGAAATGCTGCACTGGCCACGCAAAAGCATCCTCAAGTTCAAATTCCAAAAATGCGACCCCTCTCACGAATTCAGCCGTTTCACCTCAAAATATCGCATCCATGGTGCGGATTCCCTGCGCCTGCCACGTGAAACGCAGTCCTGCGAATGACACACGCCTGCCAACGTTTTTGCAACGTCCACAAAACACTGCGCCTGCCACGAAATTTGCAAAGTCTCCGATTCCTTGCACCTGCAGGTGCCGTGCTCGTTTTCGGACATGAAGTGCATTTTGCGTGGCAGGCGCAAGGAATTCGACACATTGGAGCCTCGAAAAGGTCATTTTACGTGGCACGAGAGCTTTGTCCCCGAAGCGCGAAAACCGCGACACCCACTTTATGCGAGCCTGCGCAGTCGAAATGGACATGAGGAATTCAAAAAGTAACTTTTGTGCGAGCCGGCCCACGCAAAATGCCCGGCCCACACGCGCGAACCCTGATCTAAACCCGGCCCTTAACTCTTACCGTAAAACCCCTTAGTGCGGAGCACTATATGGGGAAAAAAAAAACGCATCCTGCCGGGCTGCGGACACATTTCAGGTTCTATTCTACTTGGACTATATACTTCAAGTAAACTTTCAGTCCACCACTGCACGAGATGGTCCCGGAGATGAGAACTTTCAATGTGCAAGATTGTGGCCAGATTTATGTGAGTGAAACCACCTATTAACTGCAGCACCCGATTCTACAGTACAAGTCTTCTTCAACTCGCAGAATTCGCTGGTCCTCACGGTACACTCTAATGACTTGCCCTTGGGCAAAAGCTCTTTGACCTCGGCCCGCGACCCTCCGAATTTCGACCGACGGTTTTTACGTCGACGTCCCGCTGCCACAGCGGGTTGTGCCGTTCCGAAACTGCCCAGCAACCATCAGCTGGTTCATTCTCAAGGGTAGTTTGTAGGATGTAGTGTAGGATGTAGTAGTTATCAGTGCGATACTGGCAGCAATGGTGGGAGCAAAGAAAGGAGGTGTCCCAAACAGGCTCTATTGATAATATGATAATAAGATGATAATTAGTTTAATACATTATACACCCCACAACGTACCCTATATATGCAAGAGATTACAACAAAACCTTACTGCAAAATGGTGGCCTGGCTGAGCAACCTCAGCAACCTCTCAGGTAATCCGGTAAGTCTGGTTCTGACACACACCCAGAAATCTAGCTAGCATCTTGCACCATCTTTGTTCAAGCGCCATATAGGAAAGTGCCTGACACCACCGCCCAACTTTCGACCATTCTCTGGTTTACGAAAACCTCTGTTCCACCACTGTTCCACCACTCCAGGAGGTGTCTGGCCTTCCACCTCCAACTGGCGGATCCATCCATACACCGTTCGTAGGCAGCTGTCAGATTGTCGTGGGAGGGAGGGAGGACGAAAACCCCCGCCGTAAGGGGTTCTAGTGACTTCTTCTTCTCTTTGGGTTCCGCAGCAAAGAAGAAGAAGAAGAAGCACTGGAACCCCTTACAGCTCGGAACAGGAAGTTGGACATTCACCAATGCTTCGGAAGTCCACTGGTTCCGCAGCAAACAGCTTCCGAAGCGGTGAATGTCCAACGTCCAACGGCTCGGCGCCCACTTTCGAACCGCGATCGAGACGACCTTGGGATCTGCCAACGAGATGTTGGACCACATCGAGCTGCACCGGGTTGAGTGCATCTCTTGCCAAACAAGATCCTGGGACACACCTGGCCGGCCTCCATTCAATGATGGCATTTATAGCCGAAAAAAAAAAAGACACAGCATGATTTGCTCAGCAGGAACGCTGGAAAACATGAAAACATCTTCAAGACTTCCAGGGATTCCAGTTTTCTGATTCAAATGCACTTCACCCACAGGCGATGACCCTATACGACCCTCTATTTTCGGACAAAAACCAACCAACGGAGCCTCCAAATGGTGGTGTTCTGTCCAGGCTCCGTCCAACACGTGTTCTTCGGATCAACACCGGCCGGCGGGTGTTGATCCGAAGTGTCCTTTCTACCAACGACGGCGGAGACGGAGCGGGTTCGAGTCATCTTCGGCCACAGCGGCTGCACTTGCAGTTTCGCCCTCCGGGGACGCCTGGCGGTTCCGCTGCGTGTGCGGCGCACGGAAGGAACGGCAGCCGAAGAGCGGAAGAAAGGACCGTTTTAAGTCATTGGAGTACTAAGCCGTACGGACCGCACTCAGTCATGCAAAATCCTATGTGTGTAGGATACTGCGTAGGATACTGCGTATAGTTGGTCGATGGTGTTCACTGACCTAATATGCAATAGAGAGCTGCCACATGAGCGATGTAATTTATTTCCGTTAAACTATCACATGGACCTTCCTTACCTCGTTCTCCAATCCCGAATCGTTTTTGGTGTGTGATCTCGTTCTCCATTCCTGTATCTCGTTTTGGTGTGTGGATACCCATTCGTTCTCGAGAGGTGTTCCTACCTCGTTTCACAAGCTAAACATGTCATTAACCAAACCATTTCAAACAAATGGCGCATTTGATGCCCATCTCGTTCTCGGGGTGTTCCTACCTCGTTTCGCCAACTAAATCTGACATTGGGCTATAGAAAAGGAACGCCCCTAGACTAATCTTCACTACCGCAAATAAAAGCCGTTGCTCACATGGGCTGCGCTGGTTCTTTGGGCTTGCACGGGTGCTCCCTGCCTTCTCACCATGATAATTCTGCCAAATCCCTTTGATCCATTAGCATGACACGGACAAAATACAGCTTCTGCATAGGCTGCGAAAAAAAAAAAAAAAAAAAAAACATGTATGCGACGAGAAGCTCCTTGTCAAAAGGAGACAAATATGGAAGGGTCATGCAGCGAAGGTGCCTGCTCTTGTTGGGGAACCTTGGCGTGAATGTTTTTACTTTACAAAGCGTTTTGCTGCTTGCCAGGGGTTAATTGTGTATGAATGGGCAGAGCATGGCAAAGCCCTATGAATTGTGTTGTGGGACGAGGAAGCGCAACCACCTCCTTCTCCTACCTCTTCTTCCACTAACTCCCTTTTCAAGCTCTCACACGTCTCACACCTTCCACGGCTTCGTTCTCCCTCTTCCCAACTCCCACTGCTGCACTCGCTCTTAGCTCCTCTGGCCCGACCAAAACGTCTGCTGGTGTCTTACACTACCTACCCATAACCCCACTCCCCTTCTATACTCCAGCCCACTGCCACCCAACCCGCTTCTGCGCACATGCTCCCCCTCCCCATCCTTCTTCCCTTCACGCGGTTAGGCGGTAGCCTGTTCAACACCAAGTCAATGTGGGCAAAATATATTCTGGAGTGTTGGTGATACGATCGCTCAACAAGGGTCTTCATTGACAAGGCCTGCATCACACACTGGAAGACAGAAACATGCTATAGTGAACAGTGAACACAGTCTGGTGTTGGAGAGGAAAGGCGCCTGAAAATTCACGCTGGGCATTTCATTTGCTTGGATCTGCAAACAATTAGAGAACCCACCCCTCCCACCACCATTTCTTCCTGCCAAGCAGCACTAGTTGCGTTCCTAAGACGCTGGACTTGACGAGAGGAGCGCAACATGTCTTGCAACATGTGTGCAGTCTCAAAAAGAGGTAGTACCTAGATCTGACAAATACCATATACTATTCGTATATAAACGACCCTTATTTGGGATCACCAAACCAAAGTCTGTCCAATCAAAACAGGGGTCAAATGGCTTCTATATCCCTACAAGTCCAAAGACTTAGTAAAACCTGGTCTGTTAAACAAGGTCCTTACTTAAGTAGTGCTTTTGTATGACCTCGTCCAGTAAAATGAGGTCATTGACCTACGGTATTTTACAGCCAGTGGTGAAGGGGAACTCCGGGCAGCCTTCCCTCCAAGCACTGGCGAAGGAGAAGTTATCGGAAATGATCGGAATAATATTGTTGATATCCTAAACTTACTGGATTGGTTGTAGATGGCACTGGGGTCCCAAGTTTGGTCGTCTAGTAGTCGAACCTCCATCTCAAGGACATCTTTGGGTGCCAGTGGTGCCAGTGAAACCACTGTAGGTAGACTAGCGTGGTCGCACCGAACGGCTCCCTGTTCAATCGGAAATGTGATAAAGAACAATCAGCTAACATTAGCCTAATAGCGATGGCCTCCAACCCAAGAGCAATGGCCTCCCTACTAGCGATGGCCTCGGAATATCGATATCAACCACCCGGTCCTGAACTCCCTCCTGAGCACCAGCTGGTAGACCCAAATTTGCTTCTCTTTCCACAGCTGTTCTGGGTTCGTCTGAACTGTATGGAGGGCACAGCCATGGGTTCGTGGAACGATTTGTGGCTGGTACGGGTCTTGTTACTGTTATGATCCATGTGCCGATCTGAGCATCCTCACGGAGTCCGTTGAAGAACTCTTGGGGAAGATTGGTGTCTAGTCTAGTCACTATAGTCTCCTGCTCCACTCCCTTTGAACATCTTTGAACCTAGTTCGCTTTCTTGTGAACATCCTGCATGAAACCATGTGCACAAGAGCTCCAGGTGTTCCACAACTTATTTAAAAAAAAACTGCCGCCTTTTCTTCCGGGGACGACGAGCGTCTTCAGCGTCTTCATGTGACATCAGAGACGCTCGTCTGGGGCTGATGAGAGACGCTGAATGCTCAGGCTCAGACCGTCTGGAAGTTCGTCAACGACCACCAGAAATGAGACTCTAAGCTTGGACTTAGGATTTGCTGTCCAGGAACGGGGGAAGAAAAGAACACGCTGTTCTTTTGTGAGAAGGGGCTGTTCATCCAGTTCGGGGACATCAGAAAATATCACCCTATGCAAATCCAGGTAAGGGAAACATCTACTGGTCCTAACAGTTGAACAAGGCCTCATCACAGTGGAATTGGAGCAGTCTTCAGGGTTCTTGACTCCATCTCCTCGCTTGACTGTGGAAAATGAAGATTCGAAAGCTGATCCAGTCCTACCGTCCCCGACTAAACCATCCACAACTGAAAACAACCCGCGCTGCGCCGCTCCGAACCCCGATCCCCGAAGCGTCTGCAGCTTCCCACGGCCAAGCGGCCGGCACTTGGCGAGGAAGACCTTGCCTCGGAGGAAGGTCATTGGAACTCACCTCCTTTTTGGTCCCCCCAAACGCTCAGGTCACAGCACGACCTCCCCCAAAACCGAGGGATGTGAGGGGTCCCAAACCCCCCTCCATATCAGGGTCCGTCTCCTAAGGAGGGTTGGGCCGCTGTTTTGAGTGGCATGTGTGGCGTGACATAACCTGTGGGACGGGTCTTGCTTCAAGGAACGCGCGACTCCAAAAGCGCAGATGCGTTAAAGCATAGCCTTGTATCGTGCTGATAACAGCCTATACAAGCTCAGCTTTGTGATTTACCGCGGCAAAAACATCCAAATCAGAATCAACTCTACCTCGTGAAAAGAACTCTTACATCTGAATGATATCTGAACGCCGCGGTTTCGCCCTTCCCGGCTCGCTCACAAAAGCACCAGCTCATCACCGCGGCCCCAAACATCGAACGAATCGGAACCACAGCGAGTTCTTCTTCATCCCGGTTGAAGACCACCTCCGACACCACCTCTAGATAGACCCGATCTCCACCACACCATACAGAGCCCGTTCGGCTCCGGCTCCCGGGCGCGGACACGGCGTGTGCGCGCGCCCCCCAGCGGTCTCACCGTGTCGGTTTGGTGTCCACCGAGCGGCCACAGCCACCGGCACCCAAGACCTTCTCGGAGACCGATAGGGCTTGGTCCACGTCTCGGCCTCGCAAGTGGCTGGACCACGAGAGGTTCCGGTGGTGCGGGTTTGGGGGGTTGGGGGATTTTGGGGGGATTCAGGTTGGGTAGAGAAATCGGGCTGGCAGGTATATATGATACATCGATATGACTCGGTTGGGTAGAGGTGTTGAGATGTGATCTAGGTGTGAAATGTCTCATGTGATGAATCTTGGCAATCACTCATGGTCACCTCCTTCTTCAGCAGAAACTGTGTCAGCCAATTCTTGAAGACTTCTCCTCTCCTCATAGCCATTGGCTGTTCACGTGTTCATGACTTAACACTACCTATAGACCCCAAACACTACTTATTTGTCATGTCTGGAGCGAAACATCGCTTCTCCAGTGGCATTGGCATCGCATGACCAAATCCGCTGAAATGCACCTCCCGGACGCGAAGCTTTCGCTGGGTCCAATGGGCCACGCTGTTTGGCCCTCGGGTTTTGGGGACCGAAGCCCGCTTCCAACAACCATTAATTTAATAGGCTTTAAGCTTAGATATACCGCATCAACTATAAGGATTTTGCACTACAAAAACCAGGTCAACCATGTTTTTATGGTCACACCGAAGTCTAAGGGGAGCTCACATGATAGCACGACCGAGGACCAATCGGGTTGGACCCGCGGGCGAAGCGTCCACTGGCCGACCCGGGAAGCGCACACCGCATCCATCCAGGTCGCCACGGGGGGGTCGGTCTGACCGATAGGATGTGGGCCCGACCTAGTTGTTCCCAAATAGATCGTCAACTTAAATGGTCAAATCAAAACTCATTGAACCACCTGCACCTACGTACATGCTTTCATCTAAACATGACCAGCCATGCAAAACAAACGCCAAGGGGCGCAAAACGCCATGGCGGCCCAGCTGCCACAGGTGGTGATGGAACTCCTGTGGCGTTGGCCCGGCGGAGCCGCGGCTGGCCATGGGAACAAACGGTGGTGTAGCAGCTACTGGTGCTGCAGGCAGCAATATAGGTTGGACATATTATAGCGAGCTTCCAGCATGGGAACCTAAATGAAGTATGCATGTTCATCATCAGATCTTGCTGAAGAAAAGACTAAAACAACTTCTTCATCTCAACTTCGGTTTGGATGACTGAACAACCCTTGAATGGTTCAAACATCAGATCCTTGACTTGGTCCAATCCATGGATCAAGACTGGACTCAGGACTGCTCTCTTGAAAGGCCGAGGAATCTCCGACCGACCGAGGAATCTCCGTATCGGAGCAAGGGCCCACCAGGAAGATCCAGGCGTTGCCATACCTCAGATCTGCGGGAGAAAATAGGAGGCGAGGATTCCAAGCAAGACACATTTCGACATGTTGTTCTAAACTCTAAACTGTGTTTCAGCTTGTTCATTGAGAAGTGTTTCTCTTTTTTTGAATCCATTGGTCCTATTCTTTGAAAAACATCAGCTGTCGAATCACCTCCAAGACAAATGATCCGCATCTCCAGATTCAGTGGTTCTCTTCTTTTCCGCACACGATGGACCAGAAGGACCCTCACCTGGATACTATTTTGCACACTCTGACGAACACCTCACATATCCTCACATGTGTATGTGGATGGCATGGCCTCTTGGATCACTATTGCACAAACAACGAGTTTTCCATGTCCATGATTAGTGAGTCAGAGTGTTTTGTACTTGTTTGCTTTTGTCTTTTTGCGAGTCATGTCACATGTTCTGGGTACTTGAAGTCGGTCCAAGCAGAAGAAAAACACCACCAGTTCAATGTCGGAATGGTTTTCAGCCCCAGGATGTTCGGTGAGCGGATGTGATGTTCGGGCACATTGAGGCCTCCTACCAACCCCAGGCACCTCGGTTCGTTGGTTCACCCAACTCCATGGAACTTCTGGTTATCTGGATTGCGACTTGGATGAGTCAGAAAAAACTGCAGAAACATTCAAAGACCTCAGGTGTAGTTTCAAAGTTCCCTGCTGGAGGGGACATACCGCAAAGACTGAGTCAAGTGTTTAACATTCAACAAATGTTCCTCGAATGCTGACGATGTCCAGCCCAAAAGCAAGAAACAACGAGTACCACCATGTATATACTGTTGACTCTTCATTTTGATAAACAACTCCCCAAACCTATTATATTGTAGATGAAAAACATGTCCAATATGGGGTGTGATTCATCCACATGTACCACACGTACCACCCTCCAGACGTAACCACTCATCAAGACTGTCTGAAGTCAGTGCCCTGCCCCTGTAGATGACCCCCTCCGTTTCCCAGGAAACTTACAGGTATAGTTTTCCACCAGTTGCTTTTTAGTGACACCCACATCATCCCATATCTCAAAAAGGATTTAGCCGGTTATCCATGGATCGTTGGGATCGTCTTTCTCCTCATGTTCTCCGCCGACGAGGCACCCTTCAGGAGAACGGGATCGAGGAAGGACGCCCAATAGGAAACCTCTGGAATGCTGCTCGGACGATGGGATGCGGAGTGATTTTTAGAACAACAGTATAGGTATAGGTACAGGTATATCGGTATAGGTCAACGGTATGGTAAAACTATGTACACCCCAAGCTGGTCACCGTCTGATCTATTAAAAACAACCAATCACAACAACATCAACAACAAAATTATTAACAACAACGTCAACAACAACATCAACATCACCAACAGCATCTACAACAGCAATAGCAACAACATTAACATCAACAAAAACAACAACAACAGAAAAAAAAAAACATCATCAACACCAACAACAGTAGCAGCATCAACAGGCGCAAAAGCAACAACAGCAGCAACAGCAACACCAACATTCAAATAGCTTGCACACCTTCGGCACAATGAGGGCGTGTGCGGCAGGCTGTGCCCTGAATAGCGCCAATGTAAACTGTCCAGGCAATCCACCAAATGGCTTTGCCCCCATCATCAGGCTCAAAGATAGGAAGGCATTGCTTCACAAAGCCAGAAGCCTTCAACAATGAGGAAGTGCCATCGAAAGACTTAGAATAACGTTGATGGCGATACCGTCAACCCCCAAAGACCACTCGCGTTCGTGATCATCCATCCACTTGCGCAGAGCAGGTTCAAAATTATTGACCTTAGTTGCCTGACGTCCATCACTGGCAAGGGCATTCCATGTCAAGTGTTTAGCCACAGAACTGCTCAAAAGCTCCAGTGCTTTCCAGTCCAACAGCAACTCGGCATTGTTCTTGCCCATGAACATGCTTGAAGGCTCTGGCAAGTCAGTAGTCAAACTACAAATCTGCAACAAACCAAAAGTTTTCCCAGCTACTGGTGATGTTATATCGCAAACACATGGATGGAGGATCAAGCTTTGAAAAATAGCGTATCCTCACAATGCAACAAATCTGAAGCCTCAGTGGCAGAATCACAATCAGCGGTAGCACAAGTTTCACGAACCGTTCTGGCTACCCAAGTTCTCTCTGCATCAGCTTCACTACTATCCAGATGAAGTGCCTCCAAATCGTCCATCACAGCAAGCCGCTGAAATTCAGCCCCATCATCTTATTTATTCCACTGCACCAATCGTATGGCAAAAGCTGGAAATCTACTATTCTCACCCATGACCTCAAGGTTCTCCGAAATATCGCTCGCATTGAACTTCCATTCGTTCAAGAACTCCAGTGCGTCAGTGGGGTCAAGGTGACCGGCTTCAAGGTACCTCTTGAGAGTCCAAAGAGAAGCCCGCCTTTTGATGGATTGACAACTGACGTTCACAGCAAAACCAGCCAACGCCCCTGCTAGTGAGTGAACGTACTCGTCAGAAGACTGCCTTCTACGATGGTCGGTGAAAGAAATCGGGAGAAGAGCTCTCTAATTGGATGAGCAGGCCTGCGACTGAGCCCCTCAGGACCATAGACGAAAATCAGAGCTTGACACAGTAGATCCGAGCGCTCAAACCGCAGTTGTACTGCCGCTCCTCATGACGAATCCTCCCTTCCCGCTCCGTCATTCAAAGCATCACATGCTTCCATCAGTCTGTCATCAGCTCCAATGCCATGAGAACCCAGCTGGCTGTCATCAGAGAAGTAAAGTTGCCACAAACCTCTCCGGAAGAAACAGCTCGACAGTGCCAAGTTCTCATCAAAGACCTGAAGAATGTCCAGCATGTGACAGCTGATCATGTACTGCGTAGCATCATGATGGATCTTGACCGAAGTCACTCCAGACGGCGCGATAGACTTAAAAATAACCACAGCCCCAGTTGGGAAGATGTTTGCGCCCACGCAGGCCGACAGCAAGTAAGCCACGAGGTATAGTAGATACCACCCATAGCTGATATGAAGGACGTGATCTACAAGCATTCCAGCCACTGGTAGTATGCTACAGCTATCCCAACCAGTCCAAACTTGCTCATGAACACGTTCAAGATCATCCAATGTGACGCACGGAGGGAACTCAAAATCAAGCATCCCAAACAAATCAGATGCAGCAGTGTCAAGCTCAACAGGACCAAGCTAGGTTTTGTCACAGGTCCCAATATCATAGCTGGTAGCATGCCCGGCCATTGTCAGGATGCAACCTAAAATCCCAGTGTCCGTCAGTGCCTTCTTCAGTTGGCCCAGAACTCCTGTTGGCAACTCAGCGCACCGGCTATTTGCCACGAGCCTTCAAAGATGGTCACAGATCGCGGCACGTTGAAGACGGGTTCACCTTCGACGCTCAATCTGGAATCCACGAATCACTTCCTGATACGGTGGCGAGGGCTCGAATTGTACATGGCGAGCGTAAAGAGTTGGCAATCCTGGCGTGCCCGGCGAGTGACGTCGATGGAATATGTGAAATACTTCCAGCATGGATAAACAGTGGCCGCGCCGAACGCTCTGGACGTACTGCTCCACGTGGCGCTCAACACTGCGTCGATCATCTTCCTACTTTGAGTGGTCGACAGCACAAGCTTTGGACTTCACAGCAAAAGAGACGATTTCTCTCAGGTGCATATCGATCGAAATGACATACCGCCCATTGCTGGTTGCTTCTTGATGTGCAGCGGCACATGAGCCAGCTTCACCAGGCCCGGCATTTTGGTTGATGTAACCAAACGTCTCGCAAAAGAGTGAGGGCTGCGAAGGAAAAGGGTCCCTTCCCTCCCATTGGGAAAGGTTTGCGCAACCTATCGTCCACAAGGTGACCAACGTAGGTCATTGCTGGATTAGCGTTGATGATTGGACCAAGGCTTCCAGAATACTCTCTTTGCGCGCGCTCAAGCTTCTTAATCAATTATGGTATACGCGGCAACGCATCAACGCACAGCTCGCACTCCTTGCGATCAAGCCTGAGCATCCTGCGTATCTCCCATGTCGCATCCCTCCCAGCAATCTGCATGGCATCAACAGTTGCAGGTATTGCAGGCTCGGCGCAAGCTTCGACATGGTCGTCAACCAGAAGTTCAACTCTGCAAGTCAGGCCATCTGCGCGCGCAGCCATAGTTTTCACACTCACAGCTTCAAACCAACAACAGCAACAGCAACAACAAGGGAATGTGATGGACTCTGAGGGAATCCAAGGGACGTTCGGGTTTCGATGCAAGTTCCAAGAGTCAATACGGAACATGAGAAAACAATTTGATTAATAAAAATAATAATAAATATAGAATTAGAATAGTTGATAGAATGCTTTGGACATTCAACTTCTGAAGGAAAACCTTATGCCATAGCCTAACACTCCATGGAAGTGGGATGATTTGCTTTTGGAACATTCGTCCATACCACGGAGTGTTTGGAATACAAAGGGGCCTTGAAAACCCCGCTGTAGTGCATCCCCCTTACTACCTCTTGGAACCTCAAACCCTTTCATCCTCCCCATATGTTCCATGGGATTGGAATCTATGCCGATGACTTGCGGTGGTTGACAACGGGTTAACGTAAACATACATTTAGAACCGCATATTCCCTAATCAAGATCTACCCAGGGCATCCAGTTTCCACTGGAAACCAGCTCCAAAGACTAAAAACCATAGACCATAGACATCCATAGACCTAGAAACCAGGCCTGTTTCCTGATCCTAGGCATCTTGGGATCCACTGGGCATCCACTGGGATCCACTGGGCATCCGGTCTGTTCTCTTGCCTCTTGTCTTCTCGTCAGCCAGGCAGCTCGAGCGCCCGTGGTGGGTTTCAAAAGCTCGATACGCGACGTCCGCGAGGAGCAAGGGGATCCGAAGCACCAGCCTCGGGACACGCGCGGCGGCGGCGGGTCATAAAGGGCCATTTTTGGGGTCCAAGAGTTGCAACATGGGGTGCCGAACTTGGAGGAAGACACGGGCGTTGAATGGGGGTGCCCCGTTCTCCACACGTTCCATGGACAGAAGGACCAGCCCTGAATTTGGAGCGATGGCCGCTCGTCGGGGGCCAATGCCGGTCTTTGGAGTGGACGTCCGAGTCCGATGTCTTGCGAAGTGCGGATGCCGTGGCTCGTCCCGGCTCCTTGACTTGAGTCGGGATGCCACATGTGACATGCTGCGTGGTTCCTTTGGCTCGGCCGCCCGCCTCTCTATGTCGGGCGGACCCATCCGAATCACATCGATGAACTTCGTCCAATTCGTGTTGTGGGTCCTTCACTCAGCTGTTTCTACCAGACCATCCATGGGACTGGAATATGACCATCATGGACTTGCCTGGCGCCACCCCTGGCCTGATCGGTAAATACGTCATACATGGATGGTCTGGAGTCTGGGTATTGACAAATTAGAGGATGTTCACATTTTTGTTCACATGTTCACTAAATGGTTTCTTCACTGAGCTATTTCACTGTTTCTATAGACTCTGATTTAAAATTTCCATGGACATTCCGATTTCTCCGTACCATGCCCTCCAGCGAGATCAACGAAACAGAACGAGAAAGTGTTTGTTGTTCAAAATATCGAGTCCATGAGCATCCGAGACATTTCGGATGTCCTGCTACGAGCCCAGGCAAGGACCATCTGGAAGGACCATATGCACTACTTCCAAGACCCTTCACAAGAGGTACCTGGACCCTATGTGAGTACAAAGTGCGTTCAATCATCCGAAGTAAAGGTTGAACGGTTGAACATAGAAATATCTGTCACCACCACCCAGATGAGTGGATGGTTGGCACATGTTAGCGCACAAATCACATCGCCAATCACATCACCGTTGAAAGAGCTTGAAGTTGCTAAGAATTCATTGACCCTCAGCCATTGAAGCCTTGCTTTCAGTGCTTACCCTGCGAACACTTCACAGGGTCTCCCTGTGCCGGATGTGGTTTGGTGCTGGCACGGTGTGGTCCTGATGTGAACATCATGTCTTGCAGTCTTACCAAGCCCTACCAAGAGAGGGTAAGTGACCTTATAGGACCTTACTGGGGTACCTATGGGATAGTCTAGTTCGGGTTCTTCAACCTCTGTTGGATAGGCATCCCAAATGATCCACTACGTACCGCACCTCCGGTACGTACCACCCTGGGACCTGACCCCGGCACCGGGTAGAGGCCGGAAAGAACACCATCACCGGACTGATAGAAGGGTGGCGGGTGGATCCCTAGGTCTCTTTTTTGGGGCGGGGAGGTAGATCCCATGTGGTTTAGACCGTGGAACACACGTGCGGAAGAGAGCTTTCGACCTGGCAAACAAGGGGATCCGTACCCGAGAGGGGCCAACCGCTAGGTTTGGGGAGCTTCGGGTCTCGCATCCCTAGCTTTGGCCCTCAGGTTTTGGTTGAATGATCTGTTCAAACCCACTTTTCCTCCTCCGGAACCATCGCCTTTTCACCGAACAGGAACAACACCCTGGGACCCTGTTTTTGTTTAGAACTGAGGTGGTCCACCTGCCACTTTCGACCCATTCTCCCGCTTTCGTTCTGTTGCTCCACCCGTCCCGGTGCTGGACCCGGTGCTTCCTCCCGGACCGCCGGAAAAACCGCGCCAGACTCGACCCGTCCAAGGAGCTGCCCCTTCTGCAAGAGCAAGATGCCTCACATGGCGAACCAACCCAGTTCGCATCTTCTGGGGCCCGAGTCGCGTTCGTAGCGTCGCGTCCGAGCGTTAGCTTGTTCCTACGGCCAGGAGCCTCGTTCGAGTCGCGTCCGATCCTAAGCTATGTCAAAACGCACAACACAGCACGAACAACGCCACGGGTATACAGTCCTCTGTCCGTGACGCATGGCAGTAGCTGTGGGAATTCCGGAAGTGGCCACCAGTGAAGGGAAACATGTTCACCCAGTCAGTTCTGGAAAAGACAGAAGAAACATCGATCTGATCCACCAAACCCCCGGAACCGCCCAGCCCGGGTTTCGGTGTTTTCTCCTGCTTAGGTTGGGTGGACCGCCCACCCCGGTGTCCCACACCTATCCCCAATGGGTCGACCGGTCGACACCCTGACAGCATCGGGCAAGACCTCCGGACTACATGTTCCCTAAGCTTCCAACAACCATTAATTTAATAGGCTGAATCCCGAATCAACTAGAGATTTTACACTGCAAAAGCCAGGTCAACCATTGTTTTAATGGTCTTGGAAGTCTAGGGTGTTGATACCATGTTGAGGACCAGGCTGTACATGCGGACCGCGCTGATCCTCATGACCGGACCCCAACAACCACCTCCGCGACAACATGCGATATTTGCCCGGAGTCTCCAATTGGGACCGTGTGACAGAAGCGGCGCCACGGAGGCAGCAAATTCTGAACAACCAACAGAGGTTGAAGAACCCTATAGACTATCCCATAGGTACCCCAGTAAGGCCCTATAAGGTCACTTAACCTCTCTTGGAATGTGGGGGTGATCTTTGGAAGTTAGTGAGATGAACACAGCCACCCGAACTCCCTAGGTTTCGCTAGCGGCTATAGTCATCAGTAGGTGCTATCTATGCATCGATAGCTTTTCCGCCAAGTGGCTGGTACCGGAAATCTGTATCTCCTCCTCTGCAGCGTCCTTAGACCCGTCTGCATTCCGGGTGTTGGATGGGTTTTTGTCGCGGTTTTCTTCCATCAACACCTTTGGATGGGTCGAAAACGGCGGCACTCCGGCGATGGGTCGACTGGATCGCCGTTCTTCGGGTTGGACCCCTTTGGGAGCCGAACACAACGGACTTTGGACCGATCACCATCACCTCTGGGCGTTCGATCATCCTCCTGGCACCAGAGGCCATCACATCATTCACAGGATGGCCATCCTCACCTGGGTGGTGCGGTGTTGTGACACACCCTCCGTTCCTGGTCTTACCGATGGACATGGGATCTGGCACGATTCTACGCCTCAAACAATTGGCATCTGGCTCAAACAATTGTCGATTTCATTGAACTTGACTGAAGAGCCAACCAACTACACGCGCGAAGCAAGCGGCTTAATCACTTCCCCATGGATCCTTCATTTCTCTTCGGATTTTCGCTCTCCATCCAGGAAGTCTGCTCTGTCTGTTGGAACAATTCTTCCTCCATGCCTCCACAACGCAGTGAGTGGATCCAGGCAAACCAATATGTAATGGCTGGCCTTGCAGTGGTTCCAGCTACAGGAACCCAACCAAACGAAGGAGCCTGGTTCCTTCATTCATGTCTCTAGGGCTCCAACTACCTCCTGAGAAGATGGTTGGGGTTGGTGCCAGGGGGGTGTCCCCATCGAACCTGAGGATATGGGCCAGGAGCCCTAGGGTGTAGACCCTTGATTGAAATCAAAGGCCAACTCATTTCTAGGGTTTTGAAGCATAGGCAAAATCAACCAACAATGGCTGCCTTCCAGGAGCATCACAAACCTGGGTGTCCCGTCTGGACTACATTACTATCCGAGCTCCAGCCAGGACACCCAACTTTTTGATCGCAGTGAATTAGAGCTGTTGCCATGTCAAGGTCATGCTTTTTCGTATCGGTTCCAGCTGTGCTTTGAACAAAATGGCATTGCTTCTCCCTTGCTTCTCCCTTCCACTTCAAGTCTGGGATGCTGAGACAGCTTTGGGATCCAACCCCGCTGGCGGCCTCCGGCCTCACTCTGGGCCCGCGGGCGGCCTCAAGCTTCTGTCGAGCTAGTCTGGCCCTGGCCGTCGCCATCGCGTCGCACGGGGACGCGTGCGTACGCGCGTCGGCCATGTGAGCGGGTGTTGATGGTGTTTTTCCGAAGTGGGTCACTTCAAAGGAATGGTCTGTCCTACTGTCTGGGGCATCAAACATAGCGCTCATGCAAAGTCATCGAGGGTGGAGTCGTCTTGAAACCAAAAAACAAAAACACACATCCTCAGAATGTCTCAGGACCTCCCTACATGTTGTGGAATCTGAAAGAATCCGAGCCACTCGGGGGTTGAAACATCACACCCGGAAGAACGTGTTTCTCATGTTCATAGAAGCTCCAAGTCTTCACATCTCATTCGCAACCCTTCGATCTCCGGTTCAGTTTTCGTGCGCAAAGCAAAACCTACCAGGACCCTCCAAGGGGTGCCCTGTCTGGAAGCCTATAGGTAGTGTGGGGTAGTTCATTGGACACCCCTTGCAGGGTCCTGGTAGCTAGAGCTAGTATGCCACTGGAGCTGAACACCATGAGCTCCCAATGGATCTCGTCCCAAATCAGCTCATCGCAAGGGGTCAAAACATCGGACCGGAACCCCCGACGGACCACGGACCAACCGGACCAACCGGACCAACCGGATGGATTTGGGGGCGGCCCACGTGTGTTTTCGAACCATGTTCATCCATGTTCCCAAGACCAACCACTACCAGTGGTGGGCTGAGTCACGTGGTGTAGGGCTGAGCAGTGTCGATTTCAGCCATCACCATGTTCGGTCAGCCTGTATGTTATAACTCTACACCGATCAAGCCACCGTGCCAACCGTCTGTGGAAGCCGTCAGTTTGCTGGACATGGGGTCCCATGTGCACAGCGTGGTGTGATCGAGTTACTCAGTGACAGTGGAGCACATCCAGATCCGGAGCACGGCGCGTTTTGTGCGTTTGGGCGCTTGAAACTGTCCAGGCGTCCCAAACACCATGGGACTCAGAATGGTGTTCGAATGGACTTCCAACCCTAGGACCATGGGACCTTAAAAGCTTCTGTCGACGTTCTTCGGTCTACGGCCCAAAAAATGCCCATGATGGTCCGAAACGACCAGGTCTGATGGAACAACTGAGTACTTATTAAGAACTCCCATGTTCTTTGAGGGATTGAAATTGGAACATCTCCCAGACACTCCATGGGACTGCCATGTATGCCTACATTGGGGTGGTTTGAGGGGTCAATGTAGGCATATATGGGTCTTGGAACCCATTTGACAAATCTCCCTCACTCGCTACGCCAAGGCCGCGACAAACATCTCTCGAGATCTTGCACGTGACGACTCGCGCCTAGGGCAAACAGGCTGTGATAGGCGAGGGTCGTACCCAGAGTTTTGAACATGAGGCATTTGTTTTGGCCACCCCATGAACTGGTGGTTTTGGGTGGTTCTTGAGTGGTTTTATGTAGGTCATGCGCCACCATGGATCGTTTGGACACGTCAGAATAAACATGCGTGCGGCGTGAAAAAAGGCGCCGGCACGGTGCAAAGGTGGCAGTGTTTTCTTGTGGCTTGGTCGTATTGGGTCTGTCTGTAAACCTATGGCAGTCGGAAAACGTTCTTTAGAGAAAGGCCTGCAACTGAACCATCATCATCCACTGTTACTGGTCACAGTGGTCACAGGATATACCCAAGATGTGTATGAGTAGTGGATAAAATCTGTTAGAAGAACCTCTTGGGGATGGTCATGGCCCTTTACCAGGCTAAAGGAACCAGGGGGCCGATCCACACCATAGGCCATAGACATATATGTTATCTTATCCAATCCTCATACCCCTAGGGCTCCAACCCTATCCTCAGAAGGTGGTTAGACCCCGCTGGCACCCACCCCAACCATCTTCGAAATGGAGGGGGCAGCCAGGAGCCCGTTGACGGGTACAATGAGGCGCCGGGGACAAAAACTCCACTCAAAACAGCGAAAGACTCTCAGGCCCTGGAACATGCTGAAGCAAACTTTCCACCTGTTCTTGCATCGTCTTGCCATGTCACGACATTGTGGCCGACACGACATGATACAACAGCAATTGCAGTGAATTCAACTTTCCACCTGTTCTGGTTTAGTGGGAAAGAACAATCTCCCCACTTTTCCTACGTAGAAACCGCTTTACCCCAAAGGTCCCACGAAGCCCTGAGTGCCCAGCACCACGGGGTGAAAGGGCGGTGATGGGAGGGTGCCAGCCAACGCCATGGTTTACTTCAGACTCAGACTCAGACTTCATTATAATTACATTGGGGTGTTTGAAAAGCGGGGTCAATGAGTCAATGCATTCGGCACGGGACTGGGAATGAAACGAAGAACGATCCACAGTTCCAATTCCTTTGAGGTCCGCACCATCCAGTGCACATGACGCAGTTCGGATCGTTGTTTTTGTTGCAACCCGAACTCCGTCGTCCTGCTGCTCGAACTATTAGAACTCCTGGATGTCCGGAGGACGAGTCCCGCCCCACCTTGCAGGTCCCAGTGACCGTCAGGACGAACCCGACCTGACCTGCTTCATCCTGATCCGGAGGTCGGGAACTCCCCCCATCTGACCGCCCCAGTCACTGCGCGAAAAAACCGATGAATCTCATCCCTGGAACCCTCTGAGGTCTTGCTTCCCAAGGCACAATTTTGCAAGACCTCTGATTCCTCTTGGCGATGAACCTCAGGGCTTCGACTTTCACTGCACGCTTTGACTTAAGGCGTGCGGCGTGCGGGAACCCAAAAAAACAAAGTGAAGCACATGGTGTTCATTACAAACAGTTCTGATGGCGTCTGACGACGGTCCCAAACTGTAAAAGACATGGTTGAAATATGTCGGAACCCTGCACCCAATATTGCTTGAGATCCTGTACACAAGTAGGTGGGACTGGAGACATCCAATTGGTCTTCAGGAGTCTCTTCAGTCTCTTCTAGAACCACTGGATTGAACCATTAACTTGACTGGCCACCTCTTGTGTGGAATGTACATGACGTTGATGGGCCGAATTGGATGTTGCTCATTTGCTTTCTTCACTTTTTTTCCGCTCATCCTGTTTGGGGTATCTCCTCCCCCCTGGCGTCACCCCCGGGAAGAACACAACCACGAGGAAGCAACCCACCCACAACCACAGCGTGACATGAACAGTTTCACATCAATTCCGAACCTTATTTTGGGACCCCTATGTTACTAGTAGTTTCGTGTTCCTAGTAGTAAGGCCAGGAGCGCCCCTAGTAGCAAGCTTGCTCCTATAGTAGCGATGCCCTTTGTTACTAGTAGTTTCTTGTGCCGGTGGAGTTGGGGAAAAACGGATCCCCCCCAACGACTGTTCAGTCGCCGTCACCTCCCCCTACACTAGACGCCTGGACGCAAGGATTCTTAGCTCCAAGGGTTCTTGATCGAAAAAAAAGGGAGACCCCCTTCCTCGCCCCTGACAGGGTAGAGTGCTTGATCGAACCTGCGAGGGTCGGAATTCGAGGTCTCCCTATTGTCAGCCCCGACATCATCCGACAGCCATTTCGTTCCAAGTCTCTGGATGCAACCGCAGCCGCATCCGCGCGGATGCACCTGCAAACGACACTCCACGATGGATATGAGGCCAGCGACCCAAACTCGACTGAAGTGGGAATGGGTCCTGTCTTGTAGTAGGTTCCAAAATCCAAGTCCATACTCTAAGGCTCTAAGGACCATGACCCCTCCTGGCTGGAGAGGACAAACCCGAGGCTTTGATGATTTTCTGGTTGCTTTGGCCCTTCCGATATGAAAATGAAGAACGTACCAGGACCCTCTAAGGGGTGCTCAATGGAAGCCTATAGGTAGTGTGGGGCAGTCCATTGGACACCCCTTAGAGGGTCCTGGTATACTTGAAGATCAAAAGATCCAAATTAACAATCTCCCGCAAAGTGAGAACTCCAGACCCACCTGATGAACCGAAACATCAGCAAAACAAAGGACCACAACGTCATGACAAAACGTCTCACAGTCGACTGAGTTGTTTCAGACCTCCCAAGACGTCCATGGAGGTGATTGTCACGTCACCCCCCTGCGTTGACCGACGTCAGGTCTCAAACGGTTCTGAGAGTTCAACATATCAGGAGTCTCAGTTCGCACCTCAGGAAAATGAGTGCAGTCCTACCTGCTTGTTGGTTGGGCCATGTCCCATGTCCTAGGGTACTTTGGAAGGTCCAAGTATATTGTTGTTTGCTATCTGGCGACTCAGTTCAAGCCACACACGGTTTCAACGATATTTCTTCTGTTCGAAACCATGTTCGCCCAACCAGTCCACCACTTGCTGCGAACGGCGAACATACGACCAGGTCTTGTTCCCCGATGATGCTGGTGCCCCCGCAGTGGCCTGGTACCTGGTCAACTCCCTCAAAACAGCGCAGCGTATCAACTTCTGACCCCTTTTTTTCTTGGGTGCCTAATGGCCTGTCAGAACTGCGGCGTAAAGCAACCGTTTCGAACATGCGATGCCCAACAAAATCACTGTCCAAGCCTCTGGCCATGGCCTTTGCCAACCCTTGTTTTACTGGGTTTCGAAGCTGCCGTCTGGGGCCCTCTCCAGCCACATGTGCATGCAGACGGGCTAAGGCTGTGGCAAAGGACCCTTTCCAGGCCTTTTGCCGTGGCCCTGCCAACCTGGTTCTGATGGGTTTCTAAGCTGTTTCATCCCGTCGCCCGGATGCTGCGTGGCCGCCGAAGCAATAAGGGGCGCCGGGACGAGAAGGCGAGCGTCTACGCTACCAAGGGGTGCCAAAAACATGACAATAACAGGGCACAGAGGGATTACGCAAATCGTGACAGGTGCATTTTGGTTGCGCGAACGCCTCAAAGCGCATGAGCCAGATCCAGAACCGTCAGAAACAGAGAATTCAAGATGCATGCCGCTGGTTCCACGGCCACGAGCAGTGGTGAGTCAGGGGAAATGGAGGAGCTTGAGCTCTGGGACGTGATGTTCTCTGTGGTATACTTCATGGCGAGAGACTCCATCCCGCCACCGGCGATTCCGAACCACAAAGTGGGATTGGGTTTTAGAGGGCATGGGACTAGTTAAGTGGCTGGTTTAGTTTACCTGGGCGTCAAGGCTTAACAGCTTATCTTTGTGGTTCGGAATCAAAACCCTGCAAAAAATGCTTGCGCAAGTGCCAAGTGCCAGCCAGACCCTGATGACGGTATCTGGCATATAGGCTCAATGGTTGCAAGGCCTGGACACGGGATGCTCGCACACGCAGCACTGACTGGAAATCCATTTCTGATGCCAGTTGTCCGCCATCCACAGACTCAAGACCCACACATGAGACTCTATGCCTTGATGAAAGCGGGGCAATGCAAAGATAACATGTGGTGTCCGGAATTGGTCGTTTTCAAGCTTGATAGGAGTTAGATTCGGACACCGGCCGATCATACAAGGTGGAAAAAACACTGCTTTCTGGGCGCAAAATTCACCGTAATTAGCGTTGTACTCTGCAGCATCGATGAAGTACAAGTAGTTGTCGGATACATCGGCCACTGTGGAACAAGTTCTGGCCAGCCACGGCAATCGAAGCTGCGATTGCGCCGAGTCGCGGGACAGGCCTCTCAAGGTGAGAGGTGCAACCAGGCATAAAAGTGCTAGCGTCTGACTGAACGCAATTGCCGCCGCGGGGGCCGGCGGCAACGTACGGTGCCCCACTGCGACTGCGTTTAGATGCTCTCTGCGCATTGTGTTCCTAAAAAAGCATGCCACTGCGATGCAGCAAACCATTGATTCGTAACATACATGGTCCTGTCTGTGCCAGTGCGATTAGATTTATAATGTTCTGAAGATGAACAGCACACGCATTTTACTACACATGTGCCTGGAGCATGCCATTCCGCAAAGCACACCGCCCATGGCACGACTTCACGCGACATGGCATGAGAAAGGTCAAGGACCCAGTATCATATTGCTCAAGCATGTTATGGCCCAAGGCAGAGAAACAAGTTGCATTGATGATTGCACCACCGGCGGACACTTCAGGATTCGACCGACCCTCTCCTGCCACATTGACGCGCGGCCAGGCATCAGCCCACTGCGTTCACTGACCTTCCCGTTGAGCGGAACGAGTCGAGGTTCCCGTCAAAGAGCGCGGTTAAATTTGATCCAGCTTGGCCAAAAGGACCGCCTGCAACCTTTCTGAATCTCACCGCCCGATCAGCAATGTCTCTCAGCTCGCAATCTTCCAAACTTTCTTTCGACATGAGATCCAAGATCCGATCGATCTTGTCGAAGATGAGAGCCTTCGTCGAAAGACCCATCATCCGAGATACCTCCAGCAATGTGTCCTCATTCTTTTTGCAACTCTCTTGCATAGCAGCCAAGTCCGTTTCGGAAGAAGATGCCAAACCTGCAATGACCGCAGCATTAATCCAAGCACAGTGATAATGCAGCCACTTGCGAAGGCCGTCTTGCTCCGGTCCGAGTTTGGAGACTGCCGTGCTTGTGAGTGCACAAACTACAGCTAAGGACTCCGTATAGTGCCCAGCTGGAGCAGTTGAGTCCGCTCCCAGCTGGAAGCACGATTTCATCAGCTCCCGCTTTGAAGTTAGAGCATCTAGCCCCATACGTCGGATGTAGTGGGTCCTTGCCACCAAGAAGCCCACCAACCCTCTCATAAATTGAGAGTCGGACAAAGCAGATCCGTCCCCTGTGGTGATGCTCGTCTGATTCCGAAGGAAAGAGACAGCTTGATCGCTGATTGGGGGAGGGACCAGAAGCCCATTTTGGAATGGCTCTGTGGAGCTGTCGTCGAACTCAGGTGTTACAACCAAAAACTTCCACCTCGCATTGTAACCGGCCCATGTCGTTATTCCCACGTCAGCAGCTGTGACGTAGCCTGCTAGCAGATTGTTCATCTTGCGCGGCGCCATTTTGGCAATGAAGGTGAAAAATGCACTGACGCATTTCGCTCCGAAACTTGCTGGAAGAAGTTGGGCAGCGTTCGAAATCGATGTGAAGCTCTTGGAGTTCAGCGTTGCGAGAGTGCCTACCTCTGTCCCGTTCAAGGTGATCACGTTAGTCTTCTCATCCGGCATCTCTGAGGATCTGAGCTTGAGGCTTCGAGGATTTTCGTTCGCTGGATTGCTTGAGCCAAAATGGTTCAATGTCCGAAAATGGGAATCATCGACGGAAACACATATCATCACATATCCCATGAAGGACAACTTTCTTGAAACGCTAATCCGTGGGATGTTTCCCGGAAAGCACGCAGGTGAACCTTGCAAACTCACGGCGGGAGTTCATTTTTGCATTTCAAGTGCAAAACTTTCATCCAGATCTACCTAGAACCTGAATGACCTCTATTTTGGACCACCAACCAACCAAAATATTGCCTTTTCCTATCAAAACACGGTCAGTTGGGTTCCAGGTAAACATATTATCAAAAGCAACTCTGTTGACTATTGAACTTTATTTTTACACACGCATGTTTCATTCAAGACCCATTTTTCAAAACACAATCGCTCTATATCGCTCTCAATCCAGGAACCTTTTTGGGGTTGAGATTGTTACCGTCGCGTCTAGGCCTTTACCTGTGAACTTTTGATATTTTTCGGCCTCTAGGCCGCTAAACCTCGCGACCTAGATCTTCTTGCATCAAAACGCTCAGCCTAGACCTTTCATGTCTACAAACCTTAGGATCGTTCCCTCGGCTTCTGCATTGGTAGACCTTTAGATTTAGAGACCTCTACAACTATCTGCCTGGATCCAGATCTCTTTTAACCTCTACTTGGATCGCTTTCCCGACCTTGTTTCTAGGCCTCTCCAAGCCTCTAGAAGTAGAGACCGTTTATATGTTTCACACTCTTTTTCGTGTGACAGACGTGTGAAGCCATATGTTTTGCATGCGCACGAGATATCTATGTGCTCTCATTTCCGACAGTTCATCTCTTGCAAGGGATCGCGTCTCTTCCCTCTACCCTTTACTTTTCCCTCTACTTTCTCTTCCCTTTGGTCGTGGGTGACTGCTGCTCCCTTTACTTTCTCTTCCCCTGTGTTCGTGGGCATCCTTTCCCTGTACTTTTTTCCCCTGTGATTGTGGGTGCTCTACCTCGCACTCGTCCTTTTCGAACTTTACATTGCTTTGGGCCTTTTGCAAGGATATAGTTTCTTGTCTCCCCACTTATCCGGCCAGCAAGGGGCTGGCCCTCGTTGGTCCGCGCCACTGAAGGGCGGCTGTTTTTAGTTTGTGTCTTGTTGTGCAAGACATTATCCTGCAAGATGGCTCAAAATGGCCCAAGGTGCGAGTTATGCCGGCCAAGTTGTCTCGCATTCATTGCATTTTCTGCATGTGCTCTTCAACAAGAAAATTCCAAGCGGCTCGGGGTCAAAACCATCCCCCGCGCACCCTGGTCTGACCCCAGAACATGCACCGAATGCACCGAATCCTCTATGAAGGGACGTCAACCTGGTGGGATGTCAACCTACTCACAGCCAAGTCAGTCCTCGTCCCAAGACAGTCCTTGTTGCACAGGCACCTTCTGTACACTGTGCCCCTTCGCCAGGTTGAACACCGGGCGAAACTGTTGAGCCAAGAGTAGCGTTTTTGGGCAGCTCATGCCGTGAGACGCGGCTTCACGACCCAGGAGGTGTCACAGCGTCTGTCCAGATGACCTGTCTGACACAGTTAGGTAGTCCTCAAACAGCTCAGTGTCTGGGATTTCCATTTGGCATGAGCCCCTGGCTTCACCCCCGATCACCTGACATTTGCCTCTCACGATTGTCTGCTATAAATGCCGCAGTGAGATGCGCTGATCAAGTGCTTACAACCACATTCACATGTCACATGCCCAAACACGACCTGTCTGGGACTGGCAGGACTGCCTTCAAGTTCCGGCCGACCGGGGTGGTTGAATTCGGTCAGTGGATCGGCTAATCATCCAGTCCCAAACAGATCTTCTCTCCGTCCCAGGCCGGGCTCCTGGGCTCACCTCCTCGGGTCGGTAAGAACACCCCAAGACCACCCACCCCGAAGCAGGGAGGCAGGCCAGGAGCCCTAGGGTACCAATGATATTGATTCCTATGGAGTGTTTGGGCTTAGTGCTTTTGCAGGTTCTTTTCGTGGCCCTATAGGGTCTGGGATGGTTCGATCTTCACCAGGTCCGGTCGTACCATCAAAAGTGGGCGAAGGACCGGGTCTCCCTTCATGGTTAACCCTTGTTCCATCATCTGTTCATATGAGGTGGTGTAAAAACCCCTCTGACTCTACCTTTCCCTATGCCACTTGTGGACGCGCGAATACGATCATATTTAGTGGGGTGTCCCCGGTGGGTAGAAGACCCTTTTCGGCGCTGGGCCCACTTCTTAGGGGTAGCTTTGGATTACCGAACCTTGGATTTCCACAGGAGGCTGGAGGCTAAAAGGGTGGGACGGACAAGTGCAACACAATATCTCTCATCAAAGCCACTCCTTGACAAACACAGCTAAATCTTGGGGTTATACCAGGGCCCAGTGGATGATGATGGCTAGGAATGGCCTTTTTCAAACATATATTGCTAATTGCTGATAGATTGCTTACCGACTGTTACTGGTAATGAGCTACACCCTAACTATATAAATGGGTGTTGAGAACTTCCTCCTAGAGATGCCATCGGCTCGACAACTCATGAATGACCTCCAATGTGTGAATGAAGGGAACACTCTCAGTGCTCTTGGGACACTGCTGGTTTCAACTCTGTGGTGGTTGCAAAAAAACAAGGGAAAAAACACTTTATTGGTCACTGGCCTTATTTTTTTCCGGGGTGCTTTGCTTCGATGAACACCCATCAACCATCATGGACCCATCATCATCTCTCATAGGATCTGAATGTTCGGGGGGTCGGTCTCTAGCCCCAATTGCGCCGGTTCCCGGTGAGTGGAACTCCTGTCTATCATGGTCTTCCCAAACCGTTGCTTTCCCTGGATGGATGTCCACCTCACGGTACCTGTCACCTCTCCACCCGAACCTTTGGACCCGACGGTCCGTCGCGAACATGACATGACCCAGAAGAAACACCAGGTACCAGTACGACTGGAGCCCTCGGATTTGTCCGAGGTACGCACGAAAACAGTGGCAAACTCCGACCTGAACCAACCTGAACCGAGTTCGGCTAAGGCTTGTGATGCACCGAATGAGGGAACAAAAGGATCCTGAGAGGAATCTATGAATCCCATTTCTTCCTCGTGGGGAGGTGTTCCGTTATTCCTAGGAGTGGCTCCAGTGGGAGATAGTGAGAGGGTCTATTCCTCAGGGTTGACCTGTAGATGATATGATCCAAATCAGCTGAACATCCAGACCAGAGAATTGGTCCAATGTCCGTCTGGAGCTGTAGCAAACGAACTATCCCGCCAACATGTCCATGTATTGCTTGAGGATGCTTGATGTCTTTTAGAGAAACAAACACATACCTCACACCCTCAGGACAATCCATGTATATCCATCTATGCCATCTTGGCCGTCCATTACAGTACATGGAAGGGCATGGATGGGTGGTTTTAAGTGCTCTAAGAAAATGGATTCAACGAAATCACTGTAAGCCCATCCGTTCCCATGGGAGCCTTGTGCCTCTTCCAAAGCCAGAACCCACCACCGGACCCCCCCACCTGCCCTGCCGGACCCCCCCACCACCGGACACCACCCGCCGTCTCAGCAATCCGCCGGACCCGTCGTGGACCCGGGGGGGGCGGCACCCAAGGCCGACCAGGAGCACCGCATTTGGGACACACCTGCAGAGCCGATGGCCGCCGATGGCCGCCCGGACAGGTACCGAAGGGAAAGGATGACCGGTCGATGAGCGAACCGAAGATATGACCTTTTTGATGACCAGCCACTTACCAATGGGATCAGGCCGGTCTCCTAGAATGGCTGGCTGAGGTCACTCAGGATCCTATAATGGCTGTTGGCTGAGCCACTGGGATCTCAAGTTCGGTCACTGTTCCCGGTCCTGGTGAACTGGTTCCTCTCTCTCTCTCTCTGCGTCGCCGACAAACGATGGATGAACAAACGGAGAAAGTATACGAACCGTCAGCCAGGAAAGGTGGTTTCGCCGACCGTTCGGCGATGCAGAACGCGAAGATGTTTTTCCCCAACCCTAAGGGTCCAGGACCATCCAAATCGGATGGTCTTGGAGGTGAGTGCGTACTTCCTAAGAATGTCGAACTGGGGCCAAAGGACAGCAAGGTTGCAAACACGAAACCCCCAAACCCCGACGGCCAGACTTGCTTTGGAACCCCAGGCCAAAAGATGTTTCATAGATCTTGAAGTTGATGTGTCAACCAAAATTCTTTGCAGTGTGAAACCTGGGCACCCAGACGCTCATGGACCCTAAGTAGGGGCCGTACCTTCTCACCAATCCCTAGGGTTTTGAGGGACCAGTCGAGCGTCGTTTCACGGAGCGTAGCGGTCGCGTCTGGGCTGAGCTGACACCCAAACAGGTCCACACGGCTCCCAACGGCTGCCACTGCATGACATCCATCGACTGAGTCGACCGAGTCGGCCGAGTCACGGCCGGTTGAGGCCCATTGAGCTCAACCCAAGCCCATTGAGCTCAACCCACTCAGTGTCCCAAATCCGAGTGGTAAGTGATAAGTTGTTCATCATGTTCCTTTTTGTAGATATCCCTTTGATTCTTGAGAACCCGATCTTAAAGATGACACATGCATGTACAGCCCAGCACCTCCGAATCGATTCTCAACCTGCCCAGCATCTCCGAATCGATCCTCGTCTAAAGCGAATCGAACGAAACACGCGTTCGGAAGCGAAGACTGGACAAAACGAAGACGGAAAAGACGTGGACCCCACCGCCCCAAAAGAATGGAGATCTATATATATAATAAATCAACATTGGGTAGTTTAACCGGTTTGATCTATTTTGTGTGTGTGTGTTTTGTTGTTCAGTTTTGATTGTGATGAACTATCTTTTGCTCCAGTCCCCCAGCTCACCCCTAGACATGGACACCCCGAATCACCTCTTTTCGGGGCTATGAATGGACACCCGGCATCCATGGTGCTGGGAGAAGGCATACATGCAGAAATCGAAGATTTCGCATGGACGGCTCG